CTGCGGTTTGCACCCCCTGAGTCCCCTGAACCATGGAGTGGTGTGAGAGATGGGACATCACAACCAGCCATGTAAGTCCTGGGGCCCAAGAGGCTGGAGTGAACAGGTAAACTGAACTCTGGACCACACTGTAGTTCTTCCTCCATCTCAGCCCCACAGCAGTTTTCTCTGTGTCAGGGAGAGTCTCCCATGCATTTTTCTGATGCATGTGCCAAGATTTAGAGTGAAGCAACCTTGCCTGGCTCCTGAGTCAGAGTCTGGCCCCCATAAGAAGTTAGATACTACAGAGAGGAGCCAAGACAAATTGTTTCTGCGTTCAGACTTTGCAAGTATCTCTGCCATGATGGGAGGCATCTCTGGGCAGGAGTCAGTGTAACCTGCTAGGGCGTAGGAACCCCTGAGTCCATTAGCACATACTGCAGGTCCCTGAGAGGGGAAGTGGTGGGTCCTTGGCAGTAACACCCTCCACAGTCACTGTTATAATCAATAAGGCCAAGTGCCAGTGACCAAAGACCAAGTATATGTGCCTCCATATGGAGATTGTAGAGGAAGTTTCCTGAGAGCCTGAGCAGGGGATGAATGATGCTCCACTACCTTATGGGACAGTATTGTCCATTCATTCCTATAGTCCCTTTGTGGGCACAGCACCCCAATAACCATGTATCTTCCCTTCATTTTCTGATACTGAGAAAAGCAACTGAGGGGTGAAAGGTTGTATTACAGGTCACAGATTCTAAGTTATATTTCATCCTGGGGAGACACAGAGCAGCAAAAGCTTAAGGAGCTGGTAACGTCACATCCATTATCAGAACAGAAAGTGTGGATGCCTGGTCATGTTCAGCTCACCTCCTCTACTCTAGAACAGTTCAGAAGCCCATTCTTAGGGAATAGAGCCACCCACAGTGGGATGGTTGTCCCACATCAGTTAAAGTAATTAAGATAATCCCCCATGAGCATGCCCACAGTCAGTCTGGTCTAGACAATCCCTCATTGAGATTCTCCTCCCAGGAGATTCTAAATTGTGTAAGTCAGCAATCACAACTAACCATCACCTCAGGCACTAAGGAGTACAAGGAGAAGTGGTAAATGTCACCTCATGCAGCCAATCATTTCCAAAGAGACTCCCAGAAATCTCCATATCCCAGCCTCAGGAAGAGCAACATCCAGGCCCACATACAAGTGGACCTGGATGGAAGTCTGGCTCCAACCTACCTTACACAGAGCCTGTGTCCTTTACCTTTGTGGGAAGGAATTGCAGAGAAGGATCCGGTATAGCATCACGGAGAGCAGCAGCTGAAGGTGGCTGAGAGCAAACCCAGACTCAGACCTGGTTTTGGTCACCACACATCTCTTGGTAAAACTTCCTTCCACTGTCACCAGGTGTCTACAAAATCCTGATATGATGATTTCAGAGGGTCTGAAGAAGATGAATCTGATCATGCTTCCCACCCCCATGTCTGAGGACTGCCTATATCTCAACGTCTACACACCAACCCATGCCCATGAAGGCTCTAACCTGCCTGTGAGTATCAGGCTGTGGTCAGTGGCAAGGGCATTTCGTCTGTTGGTTGATTAGAAGGGACAAAGCAAACCTGAGCCCCTCTTTAAGGTAGACCCTGATAAAGAGCCTTTCTCTGTTGGGTTCAAGAAAGACATCTTAGCCATGATGAGCAGCTGAAACCTTGGTATAGGGTACAGAGCTGTGGAGATCTGAGAGGTCAGAGACTCTAATTAAACCAGGACTCACTATCAAATTGAGCCCTGCACAGCAACTCAGGTGCTCAAGACTGGACACTTAGGGTACCTAAATTTCTAGATATGGATTATCTGTTGTAGCATGAAATATGATGATGTGGTACTGGAGAGATGACTCAGCAGTTAAGAGCACTGACTGCTCTTGCAGAGGACCCGGGTTTGATTCCCAGCACCCACATGGTGGCTGCGAACCATCCTAAACTCCAGTTCCAGGGGACTCTGAAGCCCTCTTCTGTTGGCATTGCATGACACGGGTGCACTCACGTACATGCAGGCAATACACTCATACACATAAAATTAAAATAAGTAACATAAAATAAAGAAATATGATGCTTTTCACAAAAATCAGGAGAGATAGCCACGGAGACTCCTCTTTAATTCCACAGTGAGGATCCAGAGAGTAATGTTGACATTACTCTCTTTCCAGAGCCATTAATCTAAGCCAAGATGCATGATAGGGATGAAGCCTAAAAATATACTTATGGGGCCACTACATTTCCACGCCTGTGGCCCAGATATTACTGTACTAAGAAGTTCTCTATATATTTATACCTGCTCAGGGTTAAAGAAGTTGATAATGTATTAGGCAGTTCAGCTAGAGCTTGAACTATCTAGAAGGTTCCTGGCATCCATTTTGATTTCCTCAGGTGATGGTATGGATCCATGGTGGTGCATTGGTTATAGGTGCGGCTTCAGAGTATGATGGAGCCCTACTGACAGCCACTGAGGATGTTGTGATGGTTTTTATTCAGTATCGTCTTGTTGTCCTGGGTTTCTTCAGGTGAGCTGGGATTTGGGCAGGATAATGAGGGCTGAGAGAACCAGGGCAGCCTATAATCTCTGTTCTTGCCACATCTCAGCACTGGAGACCAGCACGCCAGAGGCAACTGGGGCTACCTGGACCAACTGGCTGCCCTGCGCTGGGTCCAGCAGAATATTGCCCACTTTGGAGGCAACCCTGACCGAGTCACCATTTTTGGAGAGTCAGCAGGTGGCACAAGTGTATCTACTCTTGCTGTGTCCCCCATGTCCAAAGGACTCTTCCATGGTGCCATCATGGAGAGTGGGGTGGCCCTGCTACCTGACATTTTCTCTAACACCTTTGAGGTGGTCTATAGGGTAAGTGCCATCAACCACCCCAATCCTGACCCAGCAGCCTCAGCCCCACCTTCTATAGGGTAAGTGGCATCAACCACCCCAATCCTGACCCAGCAGCCTCATCCCCACCTCTGATACTTTGGTACTCTGTTTGTTGATGAAAACAAAGACCACCACAAATAGCTTTTCTCCAGTATTTTATGAAAGACTCAAGTGTGAGCATCTACTCCCTTTTGCTTTATATGTACTGGGTATGTTATTTGACCGTCAAAGCTGCATCTAGCATCTTCTAACATTGGCAGAAATTATGTATGGGGTGAAGAGATGGTTCAGAGGGTAAATTGCTTGCTATAGAAGCCTAAGGACATGAGTTCAAATCCCCAGAACCCGTGAAAGGCTGGATGTGGTAATACACATCCGTAATCGAAGTTTTACTATGTCAAGATGGGAGGCAGACACTGAAGAAATCCTGGAATGGTCCAGTCCAGATAGGGAGTTGCAAATATTAGTTAAACAACATGACAACTTGTCTCAAAAAAGGTAGAAAGTGAGACCAGGGAAGTAAGGTTGTACTCTGAACTTCAAATGCAAATCGTGGCACATACTCCCAAATTCATACATGAACATGAACACACACAGGTGGAGATAAAGTGAGAGTGAGAGAGAGAGAGTGAGAGAGAGAGTGAGAGAGAGAGATCTTTTTAAAGTATGCAGGTAGAATGGTCCCAATCTTGACTGCCATCACCGAACAATAGAAAAATGACTATAATTTCATACTTACCCCAATCTACACACAACACGCAGTCCAATATGTTATTTAGGGTCAAAGGCATCCATTTGGGATTAGGAAAATGCTCCTTTCTGCCTCGAAAATGAGCTAGCCCTTGCTATTTACAGCCAGTTGTCAAACTATCCAGATGTGAGGCCATGGACTCAGAGGCTGTGGTGCGCTGTCTGCGAGGCAAGAGTGAAGAGGAGATTGTGGCTATTAACAAGGTTGGGAGAATTGTGTGGCTGGGAGAACCAGGTCAACAGGATGTGGGAGAGCCAGTCTTAACCAATTACTGCATCTTCGTGGCTTAGCTTCCTTCTAGTGGGTGCAAAATAAACACCAAGATAGGCTAATCTACATGTGGACTGTCTTTGGTGGGGGTGGAGTAGGTAGGAGAGGTAGATACATGCTGAGACCAATAAGGAAGTAGAGAAATGATAGAATAACTCAGTGGGCATAAGAATATGTGTGCGATTGAACTTCAACACTGATCTCTAATGCCCTCTAGGTTTTCAAGATTATTCCCGGTGTGGTGGATGGGGCAGTCCTACCCAGGCACCCCAGGGAGCTGTTGGCCTCTGTGAATTTTCACCCCGTCCCCAGCATCATTGGTGTCAACACTGATGAATATGGCTGGATCATCCCCAGTGTGAGGCACAGTTCTGATCATCTGGGAACCTAGGGAATCATACAGTGATTGGTGGAGATTCTAGGACCAAGGTCCCTCCCACCCCATGCTGAAGAATGTTCTCTGTCTCTCAGTTCATGGGTACTGCTCATAGCATAAAGGAAATAACCAGAGAGAACCTGCAGGCTGTTCTGAAGAGCACAGCAGAACAGATGGTGAGATTCCTTGGGTCATGTCAAATACAGGCTCCCCATATACCATTCTCAGACAGCACCGCCAGAAATAGTTTACTGCATGTGTGTGTTTCTGTGTGGAGATCACTCTAGACCTTTAGCATTTTCCTTTATTCCCTGTCTCATCCTAGAGCCACTTCCTCTCCCTGAGGATGTTGTCTCCCTATACAAGAGCCTGCCTAACTTCTTTCTTTTTTTTCATTTTTAGTATGTGTATTGAATTTTTGTGCATTTTATATAATACATCTTAAATTTAGACCCCCTTTCCCCTCCATGCCCCTTCCCTGCCCCCCCATTGTCCCTGCTACAAATTTCAGGTGTTCTGTCATATACGGTCAAGCACTTCTATCCAGATGTCCCTTGGTGGAAGTTCATCTACTGGAGTCTAGTCAGCCTACCCATATTCACCCCCTTAAAGAAGATATACTCTGCCTCTCAGTAGGAGGGAACTCATAGGTGGCAGTGCAGATATAGCCAAATACACAAGCTGGAGTGGTCACGGATCATTGAGAAAACCCTATCTCTGTCATATCTCTAGACAAATGAAATTTCTTGCCGTATGTTAAATATGAATCCTTATAGTTACAGACAAATGTACCATACACCACTAATTTGAGAAGCTTCTTCTTACAATAGATAAAGGCTGCTGTAGAGTTCCCCAGCTGGTCACACACAGGGAATATATGTTTGAGAGATGCCCAGCCCTGAGTGACACATCTACAGTGGAACCTCTAACCACATTTTTTATGGTGTAGGGGTTACCTTCAGAGAGTGGTGACCTGCTAATGAAGGAGTACATGGGAAACACGGAGGATGCCCAGACCCTCCAACTACAGTACAGAGAGATGATGGCAGACTTCATGTTCGTGATCCCCGCACTCCAAGTGGCACATTTTCAGCGTGAGTACATATGTAATGAGGCCTGGGGCCATCTCACATCTGTGGGTGCCAGGTGAGATCTGTGGTGTCTAGGTCAAAACTCATGTCTACATCAGGCCTTTGGCACTTGAGGGCATATTTTCAGTAAATCCTTATGTCTAAGAGAGTGACACCTTATCCAGGCACAAATTAGAAAACAAGTTACTGACACTCAGTTGTAAGTGACAGGGTCACCATTTAATCAAGAAATTCAACACAGCTTGTGCTCTAGCCTGGGCCCCCATACTCAAATGTGAATTGAGATAACTTTATACCAAGGGATGCTGTCACCAAATGTGTGGCAAGACAGCTCCAGGCAATGGGCCACTGTGGCACCATGTGTCCTTGTCCCTAGGTTCCCATGCTCCTGTATACTTCTATGAGTTCCAGCATACGCCTACTAGCCTGAAGAATGTCAGACCGTCTCATGTGAAGGCTGATCATGCCGATGAGATTCTTTTTGTCTTTGGGTCCTACCTCGGGGGCATCAAACGTGAGTCTTCCCTGTTTTCCTTGAGCTAATGGGCTCCCAGATGGGTACCTGAGGGATGTCTGCAATCTCAGTCCAGGTGAGGGAACCAAGACTCTGGGCTAGGACAAGATCAAGTACACAATACCTCCAAGCTCAACAATCTATGAGGGTTAGAATCTGCACCCTTCTTAGTCTATTCTATGAAAAAGGATACGAGGGCACATTGGAGGAGGTATCAATCTAGGAGAATTGAATTAGAGTAACTTCAACCCTCCCTGTGGGGGCATATCCACAGGAACCCCAACAGCGATGGCCTACCCTACTGGCCCATGTATGACCAGGATGAGCAGTACCTGCAACTGGACATCCAGCCTACTGTGGGCCATTCTCTGAAGGCTGGAAGACTGCAGTTCTGGACCAAGACCCTGCCCCAAAAGATCCAGCAGCTAAAGGGGGCTCACAGACAACACAAAGAACTGTAGTGTCCCATATCAGGATAAATGTGGGGTTTGAGTGCCATAGTAGGATCAGCCTGATGTTCCCAAAGGAGCCTGGGTTGATTCCAATAGTCACTTAAACATTCCTAATCTCTGCATTTCTCTGTTCTCCTACGTATGTAACGAAATCTCTGCATGTCACTCCTCACTCATCCTGCAGGATCATCTTTTCTTAGACCCACTCGGTCAATGGTCTTGTAACAGTGCAGATGTGTGTGCCTCAAAGTGCCTCTATCTCCTTTTACATTCCACTGGGACCAGCCTCCTTCCTTTCTCGACTTGTCTTCTCCCATCCTCTCTCTTCCCCAAGCACTTAACCATCTTCAAATGAAGCAGATTCTTTAGGGATTATTGACTAATAGGGATCAGTTGTGTCAAAATCGTATTTTCTCATAAGTATAAATGTCCAGTCGAAAACCTATTTCCCCAGACCTCTATTATCTTCATAAGTTCAGGATGCTGTTCAGTTGGGTCATAAACCGCAAGCTGGACTCTGTGTCAGGTATCTTTGGCCTCAGATATACAGAGGCTGTAGCAAAATATTGAGTGAATCTAGGAGTTACAGGCCAGCCCAAGGAATCTATTAGGACTCAGATCTCTAAATCAAAACCAAAAGATAATAAGCTGGATAACTTACAACAGAGTTGTATGTACAATATTGTGGAAAAGCATCAGAATCAAAATGTTATCAGATTTGCTGGGTAGTGAGTGCTAGGTATCTGGCTCAGAGATTACACAGTGTCTTCACTGGGTAGAGTAGGTAAAGAATGACACTGATGATCTTCCAAGCTTCCCAGGTCTTAATATCATCATATTACAGATTACATTCAGCAAATGAATTTGGCTCACAGAAGCCTTCGTCCTGTAGCTCCTGGAGTTCTCTGACATCTGCCACTGAGGAGGCCAAATACAGAAAAAAATTTCTATGTATTGTACTTACACATGAAATCTTGTCTATTTCTTTTCTGAATGTTGCCAGACCCACTTTGGTGAGAAGCAGAACTGGGCATGTTCGTGGGCCCTACAAGCTGGGCCTACAAGGGGGCTGGCCAGCAGGTTGAAGTAGGTTCTCAGTGACCCACCTTCTGAAGTTTTCTCTTACTCTCTGGAGTCCTGTAGACACTGTGAAGTCCATGTTTGTATAAGCATAACACAGCTGTGACTATGTTGGACAATGGGGTGTGTCTTGGAAGTACAACGGGTGCCGTCAATAAGTAGCAGAAAAATTCCTTCCCTGGACCCCTGAGGGCGTCTCCAGATATGGAAAGGTCTGTCCGCTTTTCATTTCTCCTGAAATTTCCTGATACCTTAATCGTTCCTTGCTCTTGATTGTCCACGTGTTCAACTTTCATTCCTGCATTACTGTTGCCCTTGAACTCTTCATCCACACCAATACAAAGTCTCTTGTATTTTATGTCATTTACAAAGGCACCAAATTGTGCTCCATCTGTCTTCTTGTTCCTTCAAAGTCTTTTCTCTGTTATTAAGAAGGTATGGGCTTTTATCTTCTACTCCCAAGGATCTCCCTTTCCCTGCACTTCCAAACAATTTGCGCTTCTTACTCACCAGTTTGTCTTGGGCAAGGTCCTTTTTTTCATTCACTCCATTGAATTCCATGACCTTTAGGTTGAAAGCAAAGATTACTGTGTTACCTGTCCTCGACACCACGGAGCATACAGAGAAAATGTTCAACCTTGGCTCGGCAGCTCAGCAGAGCTGTCACTGAGGCCTGAATGTATTATTGAGCTCCTGATGAGACCAGGAGTTAAGTGACCACCACCAAACAGCCTGCATAGGGTCTCAACCTTTTAGGCTTGCACTGGTGAAAATTTTTGTTTGTTTGTTTTGTTTTTTGTTGCCATTTATTCGCCAAATGCAGCTGAAGGCTTCCTGGTTCTAGAAAAATCACAGAGTCAAACAACTGGCATTACCCAGGTTGGCAGCTCATAGCTGCTTCCCCTACAGTCCCCTTCTGTTTGCAATGTTTTCTTGTACATAAGAGAAGAACAATGGCCCTTCCTGTTGTCATGGTGACCATTGATCTTGATCCCAGTCACAGCAACCTTTGAATTACTCTCCTCTTCGGCTCTCCCTTCTTGATGCTCAATAAACTTCTTTTGTTATTGAATTCACAAATTGTATGCAGTTTCATTTCTCAGTCTTGTGAGTGATGAGCAGGTTTCTTCTCTGGTACTGGGAGTCCTTGTAGAACTTTGCACCAACACCAAGCCCTCCTGAGTCTTCTGACCAGTCTCTGTCACCGTGAAGGAGATAACCTGAGCCTCACTGCTGCACACCGTGTGCTTTTCCTTTCTGCCTCTGTCTCTGGTCTGGTTTTCTCTATTTCCTGGTCCACCTTATTTACCCAGACCTCACCCACCACAAGCTCTTGCTTCCATGCCTTCCCTGCTGTGATAGACTGAAGCACTCTGAAGCCAGAAGCCAAAATATGTTCTTATCATTTACATCCAATTGAAACCACACACTTTAGCCCCATCATTTGGTGAATTTGATCAAACATCTGACATAAGCATCTACTCTCTCACTTCAACCATTACAAGGCTTTTCACTATTGCAGCTCCCACACGCCCTCAGGCAGTGCCTTCCATTGTTGTGTTTGCCATCTGTACATAGTTTGGAAACATTCACGCTCTTTCTATCATATCATATAAAAGGAATCGTTTGTGACAAGCTATTATTAAGCACAGTGACTTTGAGATTCAAGCAGTATTTCTCTCCTTTTATTGCAGAGTGCCATTTTGCCCACTCAGCAGTTACACATTTTAAGACTGTCTTTTGGCAGGGAGAGGTTATTTTTCAGATTCTCACTATAGCCATCCTGGGGTCGCACCATCCTCCTACTCAGCCTCTGCAGTACTGGAATCGCAGGCATGCAACACCAGGCTAATTTAATCAGACTGTTATGGTCATTTGCAAACATAACCTGAGTGATCATGTTTTCAAATCTTTCAGTAAAAACAGACGTATAGAATTGCAGAGTCCTGCAAGCGTGTATGTTTAACTTTTAAAGGCTGTGCCAGACTGCCTTCTCGATGGGTTGTGTTATTTTCATCCCCTGTTGCCATGTATGAGATGCCAGTTGTTCCATATCCTCACCTACACTTGGACATACGCTGTGTTTCACTAGGATTACATTGGATGATGTGTCGTCATGTTTCGTAAATATTTCCCTGAATTTTTATTTTTGCTTTTATTTTTCTTAGCAGTGTGCTGTTGTGTTTCTCCTTTGTTTTTCGTATTGTTTCATTTCTGTATAGGGTCTTGTTCTATGGGCCAGATAGCTTTAGTTGTCAACTTGACACACCCCTGGGTAGAGGGAGCCTCAGTTGAGGAATTTCCTCCATTGGACTGGCTTTTGGCCACATCTGTGGGGTGTTTCCTTGATGTTGAGTGATGTGGGAGGGCCCAGCCCACTGTGGGCGGTGCTACCCCTGGGAGGTTTGTTCTGAATTGTGTAAGAAAGCAGGCTGAGTATAGGCCCTGGGAGCAAGCCAGTAATCATGCCTGTGCTTTCCTTTTCTCTCTTTTTCAGTTGTTCTCTCTCTCTCTCTCTCTCTTTCTCTCTCTCTCTCTCTCCTCTTTCTCTCAGATGACTGTATGTATCAGTTTTCCTCCAGTTGCGGTGTAGCTCATCCTTACTTATTCCAACACTAAGATTGAAGCAGGAGGATTCGATTCCTAGGGCATCTTGAATCCATGTCAACAATGCCTCAAAATAAAGAAATGAAGCAATCTAACCCCTCATCAGTTACTGTGTGAAGTGGCACCTTGGCTCATTTTTGTGAGAAGCAGAACCAGTCATATACAGAACCTTGTACCCTGGGCCACCCATCACTTGGGATGGATATGAAGAGGACCAGGCAGATTCCTCAGTGGTGGATCTTCTGACATTGCTTTAATGCTGTTTCATCTGCAGACACTGTGAGGGCCACACTTCTTAGAACCACACCTCCAGGCCTGATCCACAGCCTGATAGGATCACACCTCCCTGTAGCTCTGTCTAGGACAGAAGTTATAATGTCTGTGCTGTGACTTGACAGCCCTCAATTTATGGCTCCCCCATGCTCCTTGTCACATGTGTTGTATTGAACTAAGTCACATGATGTGGATCTTCTCACCACCAGAAAAAGTTATTTAAAGTTGGACCTTTACTTAGGAGATTTGTCCAAGACTCCTCAGGAGACTGCTAGGGGCCTGGGTCCAGAGATGCTCTCTTAAGTTCTGAAGTTGTTAGTCTCTGAAATATCTCTCTCCTCATGGATTCTGTCTCTGTCTCTCTCTGTCTGTCTCTCTCTCTCCCCTCCCCCTCCATTTCTTTATCCCTCTCCCCTCTGTGTGTCTCTTTTTCATCCTTACTCTCATTTTAAATGTGTATGGGTATTTTGCCTGCATGTATGTAAACTCACCCATGCACGCAATGCCTGTGGAGGTCAGAAGAGGGCATTGAATCCCCTGGAACTGGAGTTACAGATAGTTGTTAACTGTCATGTGAACCTAGGTCCTCTGCAAGAGCAGCCAGTGTTCTTAACTGCTGCACATCTTCCTAA